GCATTTACTAGATTGGTGTAGTCTGGTATATATAAGATGGTCACGGCGTGACGGGACAATGTGTGTAGGTAGTGAGTAATTGAACTGCAGTCAGAGAGTATTGTTGAAGCGTTTGTTATAGCGCGACTGTTGAAATTAAGTGTATCGTAAAGTTGTATTCGGAAAGAATAAACCAGTTTTATTTAAGAAAGGACTTGTGTCGCTAAAGTTTCGTCGGAACGAATTTACGGGAAATTAACTAATGAACGAACGGAGATGTAACACTATTAACTTTACACCAAAACAATTGCCATGGACATAGAACTACCACACTTTGTCCAGAAGCATTGTCAGAAGGGTGGGCATGCTATCTAGGGAATACGAAAAATGAAATACCCAGGAAATATGTGGAAAAGTTAACTGATTTGTACGAAATGGGAAAAAAGAAAGAAAAGTCAGAAAGTGTCCGCCGATGAAGCTCATCAGGTTTTGATGAATTCAGTCCTTCTAGGATATTGGCAAGATAGATTTCGTGTCACCGTTTCCAATATAAAGGCATTCTTTTCTTTAACTCCAGCTAAAATGAAGGTATTGATTGATAGTGATAGTAAATATCCCAAAGACGTAGTGGATGAAGCTGAATGTTCATATTTGCAGGAAGAAATTGCTGTATCTTCTGCCTCACGTATTGATTTAGATATGCAAACAAATTAACTTAGTCCTCGTGAATAGCAAAATTTACATACAGCTGTAACTTTTCATACATCGTGGTTTTCAAACCTGGAAAAAATTTCTGAATAGTAGAATCAAGTAGTTTATTTCTATCAATCAGCGCCTTCTGGGATATAGTATTTCAAAATTTGACGCGATGCCTAGAGCAGTCGGTTTTTCTTGACCTGGGGTCTTAATATTGTATTAAAATGGGTTTTTGTATGTATTTACATATTAAGTACACATTATAGTCTTTCTTATTGTAATTGCCTAATATCTGTTGGTTATATTTCATGTATTCATTTATATTTTAGATATGTTCATAAGATGGTTATATTTTGTAATAATGTTTTTTATAAAAATATTTTACATATTACTTGCTGAGTTAGTGGTTTGTGATAGTGAGGTATATACTGCGTGTTTGATTTATCCGTGAATTACCACTTACACTAATTAAAGCATCAAGTTTTATTTGTCAAAAATCTGTAAGTAAAGAAGAGAGTTTTAAGGCACAATAAATAACACTATAATACAGAACTTTTACAGCAAACTTGGGTTGGACAAGTTCAGAGTGAAGTTCATAGTAGTTAAAATTATATTTCAAATCTTACTGGGAAATTTATTCAGAAAGAATAAACAACTGAACACATTTGAAAATCCTTTAATTTTACATAAACTTGTTCATTTTATTAGTTTTAAGAATATATATATATTTTAATTACAATAGAAATAATAGATTGTAAAATATCAATGCTAATTTTAATGTCAATAAGATATTTTGTTATAATTTTGAACAAAATTTTAAAATGTATCACTGACTGATAAATGTTTTGTACACCATTTGACTAACTATTAATTACATGTGACCTACGAGTATATTTCCCATGAGTAACTGAGTATCTCGCATTTTCATGCTCACCATTTATAAAGCATTTCACTCTGTTGTGGTAAAATTAATAACCTTCGATATAACAAAGGTACAGTAATAATGAACACTAGAGACAAATACTCTCTAAATAAAAGAAAAAAGAAGTATCTTCTTTGAAATAAATTTATGGTTTGTAGCTCAAAACGTGAAAATTGAAGCTTGTTTGTAATTAAGCACAAAGCTTCATAATAGGCTATCTGTGCTCTGCCCACCACGGGTATCGAAACCCGGATTCTAGCATTGTAAGTCCGCAGACATACCACTGTGCCATTGAGGGGCGAAAATGGAAGCAAGCACAGATAGTCATAAATTAGTATCAGAGGGCAATATTTTGAAAGAAGCTAAATAAATGAAGGATTATTACCATTCCGAGATCAAATTTAGGATACCAGTTTAACGTTCTATAAGTAACTCAAAAGTGATCCATTCCATTGATAAAAACATCATGACAACCAAATAAATATCAATGGATGAAGATTAAAATTGTAAACCACAGTTGTTCAAGCTGTAAATATCAATGGTTGAAGATTAACCTCGTAAACCACAGTTGTTCAAGCTGTAAATATCAATGGATGAAGATTAACATTGTAAACCACAGTTGTTCAAGCTGTAAATATCAATGGATGAAGATTAACCTCGTAAACCACAGTTGTTCAAGCTGTAAATATCAATGGATGAAGATTAACATTGTAAACCACAGTTGTTCAAGCTGTAAATATCAATGGATGAAGATTAACATTGTAAACCACAGTTGTTCAAGCTGCTGCAAAGAAAACACCTTCTGAATTGGAAATTAGATTAGTGGTTGTGTATCCTGTAATAATAAATGAAATGAGTTAAAATACAGGTAGCCACAAGTAGTTGCTAAGTGCCCATGAGTGACTCATAAAATATGAAAATAAATACAAGTTAGCTCTTTGTGTACTATTGGTAGATTATAATGTCAGATCAATACATAAATGAAAAATAAAACTGTCCAAAAACAAAATGAAAACAGTAAATAAATAGGCTAGGTGTCAGTACAGTAGTATGGATTAAAGTTTTGAAAACTATGTTTAGGTTTTCTGATGTGGATGAAGTATCTGAGTCACACTGTGCATGACTAGTTATTTTTCATTCTGTACTTTGATTATTACAATAAAACCACAGTATTGTGCCAATCTTTAACAGATTAATTAACCAACAGATAGTTAGAATCCTGAAGTATAACTGAATTCAGCAAACAAGTGTGGATAAATAGGATATTTAATGTAATGAAGTGACATTGAAGAATAAGACAATAAAAACAGATAATTTAATTATGCCTATGCGAAAATAATATAAACTTTTTATGTAATAGCTTTGAATTTTTGACAAATCACTACACCTATTACAAAAATACCCAAAAATTTTATGAAACTAAGATAATTTTTGGGATTTTTAAAATTCCTTATATCCTTCATATAGCCACCTTTAAGAAAAGACATTTACATAACAAGTCTGTTATGTCAAAACATGAGGATGGATGGAAGAACTATGACATTCTTTTGCTCACAAACTTGAAAAAAGTTGATCGCTAATCAGAGGTGAGAGCTCCCTATAATTGGAAACAATGATTTTATATATGTATATTTACAGTTTTCAACTGCTATAAACCATGAAACATGGGAAACAACAAATTGGAATTATGTTCCTGTTCAAAACATTTTAACAAGATCAATCTTAACTAAAACCACTCTATATGTTTCAATAATTTCCTATCCTCTTCATTGTAATAAGATGGATTTTTAAGGGTCATTTCTGGAGGAGGGGGATTTATAATGCATATTTAATGTTTATGAGTAGTTTCATTACGGCAACTATTGTCTAGAAATCAGCTTGATGTTTATCTGCACAGCATATTTAAACATTAAGCACATTTATTTCAGGTTAAAATGACATGTGCAATATTTGACATAAGATGGTTGTATAATTTGTAAAATAAGTAAAGAAATACTTTAACAAAAATATTAGTTTCAAAAGTAACATATTTCAGTTGGATGTTAACATTAACATCACCTGCTCAGTTGAAATAAATAATCTACAACCGTTTTTACATACTCTTTCTTTTATTTTGTCAAATAGCAATATTCTTAAGCTTACACCCAACAAACATGATTGCCGTCATTTTTTTTTAAACTACCTACAATAAAGAAAAGAAACTGAGTAGCTTGATGACAGCAGTGATAGAAAATTATATATCAATTGTTATGGTGTGAACACCTTTTCAAAAAGATGTTGAAGCATGATTATAACTAATTATGCTTGTTATAAGACATTATTATTTGGTCTTTTATATTTTAATACTGTATTCTTTATCTAGTCCCTTAGGGAGTTTTAATATTTAGAAGAGTGTATAATAATAATAATATTCCAACCACATTATGTTCACCACATCCGTTGTTGACAATGCATTTCACTCAATCCAGAGCTCATCAACAATAGTGGTTGGAACATATACATGTCATTTATTAAATCAAAAGCTGCTATGATGTGAATACCTTTTTTTGAGCTGGCGAAGCATATTTATAATTAATTATACTTGTCATAAGATTATTATTAGGCCTATTATATTTTTAACACTGAATTCTTCATCTAATTCTAATCCTATAGTTGTGCAAGGGATATGGCAAACCCTCTTCTACTTCTTGAGAATCCCTAAGGGACTAGAAAAAATATTCAGTGTTAAAAATATAACAAGTTGAATAATATCTTATTCATCAATGAAAACTTGTGGATAAATTATGTAGCACATAACTTGAGATCATTTTGTTCAGAAATACTATTTAAAATGCTACATTTCACAGCAAGAAGGTACACACACTGTTTGATTTAAATATTATAACACACAAAATTGTATTATATTAATTGGTAACATTAAATTATTTCATGTAAACATCTGGATAACAGAAGCTTTTCTAACAATGACCATTTGACAAAAATTGGATTACAAGATGTGGACTGTTTTTTTTTTTGTGACTTATCTTGTTTTTGTTGATTTCAAAACAATGTTTCAGGTTCCATGCTCACCCTGAAGCCAAGAAAAAATGTCATTGGCACGTCCATAAAAACTTATTCTACATTTAACATACTGCCAAAGTCTGCTTGACAAGAATTATGATTTTTTTTGTTTACAAAAAACATTCAGTGCATAATACTTGTACATTTTACTTAAGAAGGCTTTTTAACTCTTAATAAAATATATGAATTTCTGATGAAGGAAAGTTTTCTTGGGTAAAAATATAAATATGTTAATAATAAATTTTGTATAAAATATTTATAAAAATAACTTTAAGGTCAATGAATAAATCTATATTATTCAAAAATTTAAAAACTCAAAAGTACAAAAACACACACACAAAGATCTGGCACATCTAATTTTTATTTCTAATACCAGACATGATGCTACATATTTCATAAACTAATCAACTTTGATCTTGGATTTTATTGATGGAGTCATAGAAAATTACATACATTAAACAAGTAAAATCATGTTCTTTCTTATAACAGTTTTACCCTAATATTGAGAATAAAATTTTACAAAGAGAAATAAAAACATTATTTCTGAATAAAGAAGAATGTTATATTTTGTATAATTTTTAATCTAATGATCTTGATTTGTATAACTTACATAAAACATAACACTTCAACAAATTACTGAAAATAACTTCATGTCACTACAAGTTTTATCATCTAAAAGTTTTACACCATTCCAACAAACATTTAGTTCACTAGATTGGTCATCATAAGGAGATATGACTTCTTTAACTCATTTCTAACTACAGGACATTTTTTATAAAACTTTTAATCTAGATTGGTCATTGTACAGAGATACAACTTCTTTAACTCATTTCTAATTTCAGAACAGTTTTCTAAAACTTCTTAATCTAGATTGGTCAATGTAAGGAGATACGACTTCTTTAACTCATTTCTAACTACATGACACTCAATTAAAAAACTAGAAAAATAACATTTAGGCAAGAAAAAATAAGTGACAATATGTTAACTACTTCTTCATAACTCTGACACTCTTGAACAATTCAAAGTATTTAATAAAAATCATTCTCTTCACTATAAAAAGTGTTGCATGACCAATTATGTAATGCATCATTAAAAACTTGGTCCCCGTGTCAACAATACAAAATAAAAAATATCTAAATATTACTGTAAAAATATCTTCAAATACAAACAGTACTACAATATTTCTAAGCACAACACACATTAAAAAACTGTTTGGTCCTTTTTGAACAACATGTAATCAAAATATTACATTTGTTAAACATGATGGCATTTTAAACATCTACTTACTCTCGACCAACTGACTTACTGCAAGTTAAGCCGTTCTTCAAGCTTATTCAGCTCAGCTTGAATTTCGGCTGGAAGATCATTAGGCAACTGTTCTTCAAAATAATTATGTATTTCTTTTACTTCATTCTTCCAAAAATCTTTGGGCACATATAGAAGTTCCTTCATATCGATTGGTGGAAGTCCTTGAAGGTCAATGGCGTCTTCTTTGGGGATATAACCAATAGGAGTTTCCTAATTAAAAAAGGCAAAGAACTTGAGTTTTCTTGATTCTGTTTTTCTAGAAATTACCACATTCAATAAGACCATGATACTGTGACACTGAAAATATGTGCATAGGGCCTAAGCCAGATACTTGTAAATAAAAAAAATAGTTTATAATGTAACAAATGGTAAAAGTCTTTATAATATTTGAAAACATGGATGATAAAATGGAAAATAAATTTAAAAAATAATTACATTTTGACTAATCCTGGCTGTAAATATAGACAAACTCAATGTTTTATGATACAAGTTCATTCACTAAAAAGGCGAAACCTAATGAGCTTAAAAGTCAGTAAAAGTAATAATACAGTAAATTTCAACAGTTTCCTAGGTTTGAACTAGTTTTTCCAGATTTTTAGTGAAATTACATTATAACCTAAAAAAACAGGAATTTGTACCTTATTAATGACATAGTAAGAATAGACAGCTTAACATGTCCATAGGACACAAATTTTGTTACACTGAGTGTTATCAGTTTGATTATAATTAAGCAGTTAAGACTAGGCCCAATAACTACAAATACTGGTAACAACATACTGTAGTTTAAGCAAAAACAGAGAAAAAGTACTGTTGCACCCATTTCAAATAAGTTTCAGGAAACACTGCCTCAAAACTAAAAGATTTGTGTTAAGAAGCTGATATCACAGTAATGAACAATTCTGCTCTTGACTTGTTTTCAGAACTCATAGAACTCTCATTTATATGATTTGGTACATTTGTAACATGTAATTTTAATAAATTAATTTTCTTGTTTTATTTCCTATTCTTGAGCAGGAAGATTAATTTAAGTGTTAGTGGTGCCATCAACTGGAAGAAAAGTTCATTTGGTATTCATCTAAAACAAATATGAAAAAAAGCATTATGATTATTAAAGAAAGATCACATAAAATTTCTTCACAAGTTTTTACACAAGCTTATTTTTATTAAAATATAGATTAAAGTATTAGGATACCAATGCTGGCAAAAACAATAGTGACAAAAGAAAAAGGCTAAATGTCTTGCATCACAATAAAACTGATAATAATCAGATCCCTCTTTACTGGCTCATTTTAAGCATCTGTCATGAAGTATGATCTGTTAGTTGGTAATAGATGTGACACTATAACCCATTTAGAAATATATCAGTCATACTTAAAACATGTATCAAGTACTTCATTGTTTGTTGTGTAAGCTATGTAGGAATATGATTAAGTTTAGAATATTTTTTGGCTATTTTGTTTAGCACAATCAATTTTATGTCTTAAATTTCAACTTAGGTATATTCATAATTATGTACATAACTTTATTAATTTCAATTTTATATGTCTAACAATTAAATTTTCACACTAACCAAAAGTGTTGCTATAAAAAGTATTTTTAGTTTTAAATATTTCAAATTATATATATACAGTATTTAAAAATATCATCATGTTTATAGAAATGGGTATGATAAAACTATTTCCCCTTACATCTCTACTTTAATTTTTTTTTTTCACTATTAATGGAATCATAGCTGTTTTGGGCTTTAAGGGCATAAAAGTTACACCTTCAAAGATGTAAATGTATTACACTATATCAAACTTTTTTAGTCAATTAGCATTTGTCAGTAGATTGAAACTGTTCTTCCACTTACAACAACTGTTATTCAAAAATTTGAAACTAATATGTCTTTTTCTGAACTTTGTAAATTTATATCTAAATAAGTTGAATCTTAAATTCTATTATCAAAGATACACCAATCATAGTTTTTTATTGCATTGTTGTTTTAACACCTGGCATGTTTGTGTGTGTGTCTATTAATAATGCAACTGTTTACATCTGTACCAATTTTCCAAAGTTATAAAGTCCAGCATGTGACTTAAATAATCACTTATATCTAGGGTGTGATTTAAGTTATCCCTAATAAATTAAATAATTTTGTGCATATAGTTATATTTCCTGCACAGAATTTATAATTATGATGACAAACTAAACTATTAAAATATAAAAACTTATTCAATATCAAGAAATATGTTTTAAAACAAGTGCTGTTAGTTACAGGTTAATAAGATCTTGATTTCAGTTTTCAGTGTTTTATTATAAAATGCTCATGTTAGTGGAGAATGATGCATTTCTATTATATACCACTAAATTTGACCATTGAAGATTTCAAATCTGGGGCTTAAAAAAAGCATTTCAGCTTCATTATTTTTGTCTGTCATAAATTATTCCTTGAAAGATTTTTCACTCAATACCAGGAGAAAAGACGAAACAATTACTTACCACTACACTAGGCTCACCGTCAGCACGACGACAAATCCAATCAAGCACTCTGCAGTTTTCTCCGAATCCTGGCCATATGAATTTACCTTCAGCATTCTTACGGAACCAATTTACATGATAGATTTTGGGGTGTTTTAATGCTGGGTTTTTGCCAAAACTTAGCCAGTGCTGGAGATATTGGCCAAAGTTGTATCCAAAAAAAGGGCGCATGGCAAAGGGGTCATGCATTATGACCTTCCCTAGGAATCAGGAAGAAAAAACAGTTGACAGATTTTGAAAATAACAACTATCACTAACCTTAAAACAACCCAAAATACTTGGCTTTTATTATCTGAGAAGTGTAACAATGGTATAAAGGATCTAGGTTTGAAAATTTTTTGTGTACTAAATTATGATTTAACTCTCTCCACACAGGCTTCATTGACCATGTCACCTTTTTGTACTCGTATAAAGTCTTATAGATTTGATATTACTAAATTTTGATATAGTGTGCATATCTTCATGAAATTGGCTGTCTTTCAGTAAACATTATATTCCTTTCACATACAAAAAAATCATATGTTTTAGTGAAGTATTTTTAATAAACTAAAAATGAATTATCCTTGAATACATTAGAGTATTTGTTTTGAATAGTCTGTGTGCAAAGTAATTTTCATGTTAAAATTAGAAATACTTTTCCTCTTCTCAAAAATCTCAAATTTCTTTTGTGTAATCCCAAAAAATCTCCTAAATGCATTTAAAACGTTTTTTTTTCAGTAAAAGTTTATATTTTATCTGTTATTTTCTCTACCCTACCTCTATACAAGGTTGGTCAATTTGACTGACCTTGTAACCAACAACAAAAAAATAAATTACCCTCCTTTTCTTTCTAGAATGACTTGAAATGTAGCATGTTTGGAATCCTCAGTAGCTTTAAACTTTTAACAGTATACATGTATTTATAATTAAAGTTTATTGTTCTTTGAACTGTGTCTAACTACTATTCATGCCATTACAAGTTGTAAATCACTTGGGGAACAAGCAGCTCACTTTATGCTATTGAATTACATTACCCACAAGCTGCTCACATGTGCGCCATGTGAAATATTTTTATTATATTAATATTATTGTTTATTTTACATAATCTAACCATAACTAACCTAAATAGATCTCTATTTTCACATTTTAGTTACTTTTATTAATTATAAATAAAAAATAAACAAGAAATAAAGTACTTACCCGTATATTAATTTTTTTTTTGCTGTCGACTATCAATGACACTTAACCCTACTTTTTCATACTAATGGCAGTAGTGCATTAAATATTTTTTATTTAACCCTATTGCCCCAGGTACCCTTTACTGAGCATGACAAGGTTTTTAGTGTCTTACATTCAAAATTTTATTAAACTACTTTTTGTTTATGTTATACCAATTAGAATAGCATAAAATCTTAGCTAATAATCCATATTTTAATAGTATACAAGTTTTAAGTTCTTAATTCTACAAGGCAATATTTAAAAAAATCCTGAATTTCCACTAGTGTGACCCAAGTGACACGTTTTCTCTTAGCATGTCATCATCCTTATTTTATCCATCACCCCATGAAAATGTACGAAATTAAACGTAAAATACTCTCTATAAAATTGTTATTGCTCAAACAAATCATAATTTTTATAGCCTTCAATTTTATTTGGTTACAGAGCTATTTAATAGAAAATCAGACCCCTCCTGCCATATCCTCACTTTCACAATTTATTGATAGTTCTCTCTTACACTCATTATATATTACCTTTAACCAATAGAGAGTAAAGTTTTTCATCTATCAAATGACGTATTGTATAATGTTGCATTCTGAACAGAATATCGTCAATTTCATTCACAGTACAAAATCCATTCCCGTGGGAAAGTTAATGACTAGCTTGGATGAATTTATAAAATCTTTTGTCACATAGTTAGAAAGCCAGGAAAATTTTGAGAGCTAAGTGAATTTGTCTACTTTTTGCATGTTATTAGTCTACACTCTTTGGTGCATTATTTACTTAAATATAAATTATAAAGAACATTACTATCTATAGTATAAAAATTAGGGTTAACTCTTGTTGAAAACCTGAGAGCAAGATAAAAGAAGATTGGCTAAGTACTTTATTTATTGTTTTTCATATTTATCCTTTATTTATTATTATAAAAGTAACTAAAATCTAAAAATATGAATCTTTTTAAGTTATTTAAGACTAGATTAGGTAAAATAAGTAATAATAATAATACAATTAAAATTGATTCACCAGGCACGCACATGAGCAGCTCGTAAATAATGTAACTCAATAGCATAATGTGAGCTGCACGTTCCCCAAGTGATTTACAATAAAATATAATTATGCTGTTACGAACTTAAGAGCTACTTAGGATAAACAAATGTAGTTTCATGTTACAATTTGAAGTCATTCTAGAAAGAAAAAAAGGGTAATTTAGGTATATTTCGATTTTTTTTTGGTGGTTACAAGGTCGGTTGAATTGACCGATCCTGTTTTGAGATAGGGTAGAGAAAATAACAAATAAACTATAAAGTTTTACTGAAAAAAAAAGTTTGAAATGCATTTAGGAGGTTTTGGGGATTACACACATGAAATTTGAGATTTTTGAGATTAGGAAAAGTATTTTTAATTTTAACACGAAAATTACTTTGCACACAGACTATTCAAAACAAATACTCAATATATTAATGGATAAATCTTTATTTTATTCAAAATACTTCACTAAAAAATAAGATTTTTTTTGTATGTGAAAGACTTATAACATGAACTGAAAAACTGCCAAATTTTGTGAAGACATACACACTATACTGAAAGTAGTAAATCTATAAAGACTTTAATCAAGTACAAAGAGGTCACATGGTCATTCAAATTGACCGAGCTCGTGTTGAGAGAGTTAATTAAATAATGCACCAAAAAACAAAGACTAATAACATACAAAAAGTAGACAATTTCCTCTAACAATCACAATTTTTCTGGCTTTTTATCTATATGACAAGAGCTGTTACAAATTCATCCATACTAGCTGTTGTCATTCCTGTGGAAACCAAAGTTGTATTAGAAGTGAAACTGATACTTCTCTGATCAGAACAAAATGTGATATAATAAATCATTTGACAGATGAAAACCTTGGCTGTCTATTGATTATAGGTAATATTTAATTAAAAGTACGAGAGAACTATTAACAAATCATGAGAGGATGTGACAGGTTGGGTCTGATTTTCTATTTGATAGTTCTGTAATCAAATAAAATTGAAAGCTATAAAAATTATGGTTTGTCCGAGCGATGACAATTCTATAGTGAGTAATTTAAGTTAAGTTTCATACTTATTGGAGGTGTGGTGAATAAAACAGAGAAGAGAAGATGCTTAGTGAAAATATGTCCCATTTCTCATAGTAAGGGAAATTCAGGATTTTTTTAAATATATTAAAATAAGGATTATTACCTACAATTTTATACTATACTAATTGATATAATATAAACAAAAAGTAGTTTAATAAAATTTTGAACATAAGACACTAAAATCTTGTGTGATGCATAGTAAAGGATACCCGTGGAGATAGGGTGAGAAGCCCAAATAGGCAAACTTCATATGATATTATGCTCATGACTGACCAACTTCAATTTCTTTATAATCTATTACTGTATTTATCATTTATATATTATCCACTTCTACCCATATTTCATTTTATGATCAAGAAATGGCAACAACTAGCATAGAAAAATTTGTAGATTTTAAGTCAAGTAATGTTACACAAAATATTAAACAGTAATTAGACTTGTGGCCAAATACTTTTTTTAAACTTTAGAAACATAACAATTAATTTACCTTTATATTCAGCAGCAGCTGTAGCTTCTGATCGCATGGATGCACCCACAAATACACCATGAGTCCAACTGAAAGACTCATAGATGAGTGGCACACCTGAAAATATGAATGACAATCATGATCAGGTGAGGAAGATAAAATACTATTCATTTGCATCTTCATGCACAAACCTTTTCTTTGACTTTAACTATCACACTGTAACATTTTTCAGCCACTTTCTATCTATCATACTGAATCATCATTAATTATAAATTAATTTAGAGAATCAAGATCTGTTTAAGATAACTTTCTTCCATATCTTATGAGTGTTTGCACATCTTACATTACCAACTATTTTCTATAATTTCAGATCTTCACTTAATTTTCAACAATGATACTATGCAGTCACTTTTTTCAGTTAATGGCTTTTAAGTTGCATATTGTTCTTCTCCTCAGACTTCTCTTTGTGAGTGATTAGTTTTAGGTTTATATTCTAAAGGTTTTCAAAATTCATTCTTCACACCCTTTTTTGTGACTCTACTTCATTCTCTTTTATAGTACTGGGGTAGTGTTATCACCATGAAATTTTCAGTGCATGTTTTTTAAGAAATAAGCTTAGTTCCTGATCATTTTGGTGCTAAATCTTTGCATACCAGAGTTATTCAAATTCAGACCCATGGTAGTATTTATATACTGTTTGCAAGACTGTTCAGTCTTCCTTTCCCAACTTTCATCTCTATATTTTGGAAGCCACCTTTATTAAAACACATAAACCTGTCCTTTGCCACCAGAAAAATTACCTATACAATCTACATATCCTTCAGTAGGTCTGTGACATTTTCTGATTGGCTTAAGGACTTGCCAATCAGTGATTGCCTCACTGGCCTACATTGATCTGACTCATTTTACAAGCTGTACTATTTTCTATAGATCATTTTCCAGATGGTTCTGCTATGATTAGTGTCTGGTGAAAAGCTTCAGCAGATATTTCCTTTGCAACATCCCAACCAACAATTGGTCCAGTTATCAACGCTATTTTCATGTTTTGAACAACTCAACTTTCAAGATCTACATATCTACATGTGCCGATGTTTCCGTTTATCAACGTTATATTTTAGGATCGGTGCAAGAACTCAGCTAACAGATGTTTCCGCATATAAAAGCTATCTTCAAGTTTTGTACACCAAAGAAACACTTTCTGTTCGACTTTCGAATCATATGTACAAAATACAATTATTTAGGTGATTTTATAACAACTTCTACCACTGTTGCTTTCTTCCAAACAATTGACTGGAGTCTTATATCTAGACCTAGAAAGTCTATTATAATTGTTCTTTACTACCCTTGGATAGAAAGTTTTAGAATTTTTTCACTGTTCTTTAGTTGTTGTTTTTGGTATCTTTTTTTCAACTAAGTTTTTCCATCAGCTAAACGCTCTTTTAATGATGAGGTTCACTCTGTTAGAGCCTTCAGAGTTTCATAGCTTGTTTCCCTGATCACCTGTTTTGTGTGTGTGTGTGTGTGTGTATGTTCATGGGCCTAAACATAAAGAGGTCTTATGATCCCCTAGGTTAACTATCACTTTCATATTTGCAGAATATAAAGGTTTCCATTCTTCTTACGCAAGTTCTTCTTTTCAGCTGTTAGCTCTGGTAAAATGTTGGAGTTTCTTTTCAAACTTTAACTTTCAGTTGGTTCCTGGGAGGTTTGTTTTATCTGTGACCATTTTAGCTGGCTTGAGTAACATCTATTGAATATTTATACTAATTTATGTCATTATTTATAAAGAAAACTTTGCATTAATTCATATCACTAGCATAAAATAGTCATGCCCTATTGTGAGATTCAAAAGCCCCTCATGATTCACAGAAGCCACAATGTACAAATTCTGCTCTTCTATTATTCCCAAGGGGGACCTGTATCTGGAATATTTTGTGGTGAACCATTGCACCATCTTAAATTGTTGCATTTCTTCGGGCTCCCCAATGCACTTTTATCCCACTTCTTTGAGTGGAGCATGGGAGTCCTTACCACTCACCAGTTCCTAGCTGCTGGGGTGGTGGACCATGGAGTGTGACACTTCCACTCACTTGAGAGTAATGTGGTGGTGTTCTGTTTGTGTAGATGGTGTGAACTCCCCCTTCTACCTGGATGTTGGGTTCCTGAGTGGCCTGGTGTTGGATGTGTGCAGGGTCAGCACATATGAGCACTACCTGGAATGGTGAAATGGAAGTTACTTTAGCTTTCTAATTCCTGGTATGGAGATGAAGATGGTTGGGACCCTCCTCCTACACCATATGGCATTTCAATTTTTCATTGTACGATTTTGGACAGTGCTTGTATAGAGAGAGTTTGCTGCATTAGTTAGTAGAGTATGTCACACTTCTATTGGTGGAGGGTTGTTGCATGATACAGTACAGCAATAACACATGAAAACATGTGAGTTTAGGTAGGAGCCTCCAGCTTAGTGCCGAGCAAAAAATTACTCATATAGAGGGCAGTACAAAATTGAAAAAAAGCATCTATCAGAAATACATTGTCAGTGTCAAACAATATCAACATCAAAGTGGGTAAAATGCTAATACAAATCATAAAAAATTACCCTCAGGTCTCCTCCCACCAAAGATGATAGCAGAGATTGGCACACCCTTTGGGTCTTCCCAATATGGATCCATTATGGGGCATTGCTTAGCTGGGGCACAAAACCTAAGAACAGAGATACACAAACAAAATTAAAGGAGCGATAACTTTTGAGTTTTTAATTAACACTGTTTTTTGATCTGAAGATTTTCTTAGATGGTTAAGATAGTAGGATAAAAAGTCTAAGTAAAATCAAAAGTGTCAAACAACATTTACCAAAACTTTTTTATATAATTTCCCCCACGTTACAGCAGTTGTAAGATACACAACTGGTTTTGTACAAACATGTTTTAGCAAGTTTAGATAAAACATATATAATGAAATACACATATTACTATAAAAATCGAATACAGTTTTTTTATCCACACACTCATGCTGAAGTAAATTTGTATTTGTGATCACACTATTTAATTACTTGGTGCTAGGTAAATCTCACATACAAAATTAAGGCTTTCACTGACCAACTGTAATATATACTTCACATATAAATTTTCTACTCTACTAATACAGTACATAGTTTTTACACTTTAAGGCTAGGAAAAAAAAGAAACAAATCACAAATCCTTCTAAGATAACAAATGTGATGAAATATTACAAATTAGATTGAAATTTTAATAATCTCAATTCTAATTTAACCAATATGATGTCCAGATGGATTAGGCAATTAGAACTGTTACAAAATACATAAAGAACAATGTATTAATATCAAAAAAAGTTCATTAATGGCAATCTTTTAAAAAAGAAGAAAGTTAGCTCAAAAAAGACAATATAAATTGGAATTTGTTTTCTACTTGTAGCCATTAGAAAAACTTAGAAGTTTGATGTGCATTACTAATAATTTCCACAATAAAATATTAAACTGGTGCAAGAGGTTTTTTCATTTTATTGAATAGACAGGAAAAATTAAGTTTGTCTTATCTATTACTTTTTAGGATATTATACATATTACATACAAACCATCCACTAGATTTATCACCGGAACTTTGTTTTATGGTATCTTAAACTGTATAATGTAAATATAAATTTTACACTTCCCTTAGAGTTGTGTGTACCCTACTTTTATATTTCTGGTGTTTATTGCTACCTGCAATTTCTTTTTCATATAAGTGCATATCCATCTAATCATGCTATAATTTCAAAATCTATTTAAAGAGGTTTTAAAACACTGAATGAAATATTTTTTTTATAAAAAAACATTCTAAAGTTGAAAATGTATAAACATTAAAAAAAAAAACAGATTCTCTCAAATATCCTGAATTTATGGAAGCTAAAACTTTCATACAAAAACTAAAATTTACACAATTTAATTTTGTATGCAAGATTAGTTCTCAGATCTTCTTGTTAGTTGCTTTTCCTATTACATACAATTTAAATATATATTTATCTATAGATTATTTACTTATTTTATTACTACAAATTAGTTTGATAGGTTGTATCTTTTTGACAGATATACCTTTAGAGTGACAATTATCTCATGAAACTGATTGCTAGTACCATAATGCTTAATTACAGCATTTCAAACAAAAAGTTTTTTTTGTTTTCATTACATATAAAAATACCACTGAAAAATATAACTGCACTGAGAATTATCAAAACATCACAGCATTTGAAGTAGTCTGTTTAATAATTTAGGAGTATATTAAGTTTTGGAATGCATTCTTGTTAAACCTATCACCACATGCATCCTTTACTGTGCATGAAACAAGGTTTTAGTGACTTACATTCAAAATATTATTAAACTACTTTTTGTTTATGTTATACCAATTAGTATAGCATAAAATATTAGCTAATAACCCATATTTTAATGATATATAAGTTAAGTTCTTAATTTTATAAGGCAATTTTGAAAAATCATGAATTTCCCCTAGGCATGTCCTCTTCTCTATCTCATCCACCACCCCTCCAATAAGTACAATATGAAACACAAATTATTCACTATAAAATTGTCATTTCTCAGACAAACCATAATTTTTATAGCCTTGAATTTTGTTTGGTTTCAGAGCTATCAAATAGAAAATCAGATCCCTCTTGCCACACTTACCTGTCACAACCTCTCTTTCAGGATTTATTAATAGTTCTTTCTTACATTTAATTCTATATTATCTATAAGCAATAGAAAGCCAAGGTTTTCAACTATCATATAAGGTATTGTATAGCATTGTTTTCTGAATGGAGAATTGTCAATTTCACTGTTAATACAAGCTTCGTTCACACGAGAAACATAATGATTACCTTAGATAAATTTGTAATGGCTCTGTCGCATAGTTAGAAAGCCAGAAAAATTTTGAGTTAGGAGAAACTGTCTATTTTTTCAATGTTATTAGTCTATGTTCTTTGGTGCAATATTTAATTAAATAAAAATTATTTAGTCCATTACTACCACTAGCATAAACAAATAGGGTTAAATGCCCTTGACAATTTATAGCAAGAAAAGAGAAGATAAGGATAAGTACTATATTTCTTGTTTTTCATGTTTATTCTTTATTTATTATTATAAAAGTAACCATAATGTAAAAATAGGTTCTATTTAGGTTACTTAAGATTTGATAATGTAAATTAAATAATAATAAGGGATAAAAATGTTTCATGCGGCGCATAATCGAGCAGCTTGTGGGTAATGTAAATCGATAGCATAATGCGAGCTCCAAATTCCCCGAGTGATTTACAATGTAAAATGGCATGAATAGTAGTTAGTCATGGTTCAATGGCCAATAAAACAATGAAATGTGATTATGAATAGATGTATACTGTTACGATATTAGGATAAACAAATGTAGTTTCATCTTACAATTTAAGTCATTCTAAATAGAAAAAAATGGTAATTTAGATTTATTTCTGGTGGTTACAAGGTCGGTCAAATTGACCAACCCCATATAGAGATAGGGTACAGAAAATAACAGATAAAATATAAAGTTTTACTGAAAACAAACATTTGAAATGTATTTAGGAGGTTTTTAGGGATTACATAAATGAAATTTTAGATTTTTTTGAATGAAGAAAAGTATTTTTAATCTTAACACTGAAATCACTTTGCATATGGACTATTCAAAACAAATACTTAATATATTCATGGACAAATATTTTAGTTTATTAAAAGTACTTCACTAAAAAATATGATTTTTTGTATGGGAAGGATTTAAAGGAATGCCACATTTTGTGAAAAATATACATACTATATTACAAGTTAGTAATATTAAATCTATAAAGTCTTTAAACAAGTACAAAGAGGTCACATGGTCAGTCAAATCAACCTAGACCATGTTAAGACAGTTAACCCTTTGGAACAAGTGCGACTAACTTCACATGTCACTTTCTTTTAGTGATTTATTTATAAAAGTTTAATAAATAACTTTATTATTATTATTATATATCAAATTTTAATATTATGTATGTTTTAATTTCTTTATGTAAAAGGGAAAAAATATATATATATATATATATAAAGACTAAATAGTCTTGCTGCTCAGTTTATTTTTTACACCTACTATATACATCTACAGTTGATTAATGAATTAGAAACATGAAATTTAGATACCAGCAAGCTAGAATATAAATTTAGAACCTCCCACCACTTTGATTTGCCGAGAAATCAATGTATCTAGCAAATCAACTAGTGGCATCTCCTCCGACTCCATTCTTTCCAAACCTCATTTAGTTCCACCTACTATTCTTAAAGGTGTCTTTATAACCAATAGAAAGGACAAGTTGTACTTCACGTGATTCTGAAAGTTGTTTGTAAAGAGCTTGGAAGAGAAAATAATAATTTCACCAAGCCTGTTGAATGGTGATGACCAAGTTATTGCTCCAAACGAATACTTATTTTTTAACACATACATCTAATTAATTATAAACCCAAGCAAGTTACAAATGTTTCGGGTCTACTAGTACAGTAATTTAAAATATATTTTTCTTTCTAAAATGTATATTTAAAGCCTACAAAAATTATATTCCTTCACCCTCAATTTATAAAAATAACAAGGCTAAACAATAAAAGCACGAGGAGAAAATATATTCCTATCACTGTAACTTCGCATAAGTACTAGAAATCATTGTTTTCTATGTAATTTTCATTTATTGTTCTATGTTTTAAGAAAAATAACTAAAATTTAAGAATTTATGAGTAAATATTTAGATATATATGTAATGTATGGTAGTCAAAATATTACTGTAGTTTGCAAAATATTGGCATTACAGTTAGCTTTGTACTCTGTAGGGTTATGTAGTTAGGCCTACTGAGCTTGTGTTTTTCTAATTGTCTAAATTGAGGTAAAGGCAAATGGTGCAACATTAGAAACTTTACAAATTATATTTGTTCATGACTTTTAAAAATGTACAGTAAAAGAAAGCAATGAAAAGGAAAAGTTGTACAGCCTCATCTATTTAAATGTATGCAAATATTTATTCACAATGTACATTAAAAACTGAAATAAATGTACAGTTATAGAAAGTTGTTCACATTCTTGAACAGAGTTTATACAACTGTTCATGAATGTGAACAACTTTAAGAAAACACACCAGAAACTATAAATGAATACCATTTCATGTATAAATGAATACCATGTATTTCATATAACTATATAGATATATTTATATTTTAGAAAATGCACATGACAGGAGGTATTACACATACAAGTGTATAAATAACAGAAAAATACAAAAGTATGTAAGTTATACAAACTGATACACAGAATTGCGTACAAATGTTCAAAAATGTGAACAACTTTCAGAAAAAACATACAAGAACTATAGATGAATACCAATCTATATACACGTATTTCACATAACTATACAGATATATTTACATTTTAGAAAATGCACATGACAGGAGGTATTACACATACAAGTGTATAAATAACAAAAAATACAAAAATATTTACGTTATACAAATTCTGACACACAGAATTGTATACAAATGTTTGAGAATAAAGAACTTTCAGAAAATATACATGAAGCTATGCACAGAAAAAATTATAAAAAGAAAAGGCATATCATACAAACAGGTGTATGAATAACAAACTTTACAAAAATATTTCGGGCAAAAACGTTGTAAAAAGGAAACTGTTGTACATTCAAATACAATAAAAATGCTAAGATGCTACTGTCTAAAGTATTTGTTAGTTTTTAGAGAAAAGAAAGAACTATTTGTAAAAGGAAAAGAGTGCACCCTTTTACCTAGTACATAAACAATATTTTAGTGAAACTATCATAAACAGACTTATTTTTATGTTATGTTATAACATCCAAATAAGTCAGCTATAATTCAGTAGTTTTAGTTATGTACTAAGTAACAGCTAACTTCTTTGAATAATGTCACTGGTATGATACTCTGCAAAGTGTTTCATACAAAGATACACATCACAGAGTGTACACTTTGTGAGTATCCTGTTATCTGTATGGCACAGATGTCTGTCAAGAGTGAGTCTCAGAGGAGAGTCCTGTGCACATATTGTAAGTGGAATACCAGAAGGACTGGGTCTGCTCTGAATTAGAGGCTGAACAAGAGAAGTGACCATCTCCATCCTGAAGGACTTCTGTAATAATTCTGGTTGATTAGTCTTTGTCTTGTAGAGAATAAAAGCACTGACTATGGTTAAATCCAAAAGCCGGAAAAAGTTTTTTGTACCATTTTGTTGACCTTCATCCAATTGAATAGTAGCTGAGAAACTGGCCATTGACATCTACTCTTCCCATAAACTTGTTACAGTCTACAATTAGCTGAGGTTTTGTAACCTCAGCATCCCTTCCTCTTCTGGAGTGTAAAATAAAAAAGGCATAGATGTCTTGCTTGTCCATCCACTTCACTGTTGTCAGACTTCCATATTTAAAAAATTGTGCTTCCCCTCCCTGTAGGGTTGTTGCAAGCAGTTCCCATGAGATATGCAGTCTGTCCTTCCTACATATCCCACAAACATATGTTCCAACAGCCAACAATTCATCAAGTAAACGAGGGGAAGTGTAGAAGTTGTCCATGAAAAGAGAGTGACCTAGTCTGTTGGATCTGTCCATTAAGCCCATGATAACGTTATCCGCTGAACCTCTGGCTGGTATTTGTCCCTCCTTGCCTGCATAGATTTTGAACTTTAAACAGTATCCACTTACAGCATCTGCCAGGACCCACAACTTGATACCCCATTTGGCTGGCTTCTTTGGTAGGTATTGGAGGAAACCAAACTAACATTTTATATCAACATTTTCTCATCTACAGACAATTCCCTGTTAGGAGAATAGTGAGAAATGAAGGACTTCAGAAGAAGGTATGTGATAGGTCTAACCTTAAAAAGTTTACCATGGTTAGGGTCAGTCTTACGATGAGAGTTAAGAGTTTTTATTAAAATGTAAATATTTATGGATAGCTACAAATCTGTCCCTAGAAAAGATTACATATTTTTACACCTATGGTGCTCAAAAGGATTACCAATATTCAAAGTATTGCCATGTTTACTGTATTGGCACCAAACCACATCATAAATGTTTTGACAGGTTCAAACTGATAAACTACACATCCTGTTGTCTGCATAAACATTTTCAAGTAAAGTGTGATTACTCTGAATTTCCAAGAAAAGATTTTAGCATATATATAATCCGATACATTAGACATCCTGTTCTCGGAGCAGGGATTGAGTCAACTATCTTTTCACACATGCTTTGTTGCTTTCAGAGGTATTGTATTACGGTGGTGTCATGTAAACACTCTACTGAAATATGCGGCAATTTATTGGTTTATTTTCAGCAGAGTTCTACTTTAGTTGTTGATAGTAAAAACACAAAAAATAAATGTGAAATATTTAGCAGTTCAAACTTGTAAGAAAAGTACTTTGAAACTTGGTGACCAATAATAAGAAAAAAGGCACAGCTGCTCCTTTTATTTCTAATTTTACAACTTGTCTTTTCATTATACTTTCGAGATTTGTCTACAGGCTGAAGACTCAAGTATATCATTAAATAACTGATAAGATATAGTTTTACTGAAAGCAAATGTTTGAAATGTATTTAGGATGTTTTAAAGATACACAAAAGAAATTTGACATTTCTGGGATGAAAAATTGTATTTTTAATCATAACATGAAAATCACTTCCACTTGGACTAGTAAAGAAACGGACAAATCTTTAGTAAAAATACTTCATCAAAAAATTAGATTTTTTTGTGTACAAAAGACTTGTAATGTTTACTAAAGGTAAACCAAATTTTGTGAAGATGCACATAGTGAATTAAAAGTTATAGTATAAATACTTAACATGTGCAAATATGTATATAAACTCATGCATATAATACTGAGATGGCTGCGGAAGGGTTAACAGTCACAAAAATATTAATGAAACATTTTATGATATTTGTACAGGAAACAAAATATTTTTACCTAGAATTTGGGTGTGCAGCTGGTTTACCACTTTCTGGGGTCCAATTTTCATCATTCAACCAAGATTTGATACGAAGACCTTTAGGTACTTCATTCTCAAGTCCTTCCCAGTAAAATCCTCCATCACTCATCTCTGCCACATTGGTGAATATTGTATTCTTTTGCATTGAGTACATTGCATTAGAATTTGTCTTATGTGAAGTTCCTAAAACAGAAGGAAAACAAATACTGCATAACAGACCAAAAGAAAACAAACTACAACAACTTAAGAAAAGATGTATTTAAATTGTAAAAAATGAAAAAACAAACAAAAACCCTGAAAAATAACTATTCACTAATTACTACTGACTAGTAACTAGTACCAGAATTACATTTTGCCCAAGCACTTATTAACACTGTTTATAATCATAAGCAAAAAAAAAGTTTTATGGCACTGTTTGTCTGTCAATATAAATTCAGAAGCTTTTAACATTAATGCTAAGTGGAATTATTTAAAACTAATTTTTTTTTATTAAGTTATTTCTCAAAGCATGAATTTTTTTGTGCCTGCCACTTCCCAGTGGTATACAGTATTCCTGCATTTTTAAATCTCCTTAATCCAAATTATTTAAATTGATGTCCCAGACTTTCAGTTACTTTTGTAGACTTATTTAAATCATTTAAACATCTATGGTTTGGGTAAAACTTTTCCTTCTATTCCTTTTCTGTTTCTTTTTTTTTAAGCTGCATATTTAAATTTTTTTGCTCTTTCATAACTTCACATAAAAATAGGCATTTTTAAAATTACTTCAATGGACAAAACTTTTTGAGTATTCAAATTTTTAAACACTTTTTTTTTATTTCTAGAAATTAATACTTTTTTCATATGTTAGTATTTCTGAACTTCTGAAACACAGATTAACACAGTATGTGCATACATCCTCTTAAAGTGATATGGTAGAAGCTTATCAAAAATTTCACGGTAGTTTTTTCCTGACAATATATGTAAGTCGTTCAGCTTGACTTGCATTTGTCTTTCTGTATTGAGAGGCATTGAATTCATTGAATTTTTTTTAATGATCTCGGTCTTGACTGGCACATGTTTACCATCATTTCCATCCACAAAGCAGAGATAAAACTAGAATGTTCATGGATTATTTTTGTTTTGATTACCTCTATCCTATCAATCTGTTTAGTGCACTGTTATTAAGGATTATTTGCTTTTTAATGGTGGAGACCTTTTCACATAATCTTTATAAAGTACCAATAAATAAGACAGATAATAATTTCTAACACATTATCTAATAAGCAGTTTTCAACAAGAGCTAAGCAGTCTTAAGAAAATACATTTAGCTATAATGGCTGGAGACGGCTTGAATGGGTAATGAAGAAAAACTTTAATATAACAGCAAATGTACAACGTTTCGACAAGGATTTGTCAATAACAAGTATATTAAGATTACAAAACCTTGGC